AGAGAGAGAGAGAGAGAGAGAGAGGGAGGGAGAGAGAGGGGGGAGGGGGAGGGAGAGGGAGAGGGAGAGAGAGAGAGATGCAGAAAGCAGAGAAAGAGACCCTCTGCAGAGTAGGGGCAGGAGAAGACAAAGCAGGGAGGAGGGGACAGAGGACGCAGGCACCAACCTGTTCTGCTTGTTTCAGTCCAGTGCCCAGCCCCCTCCTCAAGACCTGTCACCAGGGCCCCTCCACGTAGTACCAGCACACCGGGGACCTCGGATATCTGTTCCAGGTAGGTGGAGGCCCAGCCTGGCAGCTCAGAGTCCCAGGGGGGCACATTTCAGGGCAGGCCTGGACCCCTGGGGTTGGGAACCAGGGTTCTGGGGGGCCTGGCTCCACTCCATCCATCTCCCCCCGATCTCTGCACAGGCCTTTCACCAGGATTTCAAGGCTGGTGTGCAGGCCCGCGTGCCTCAATCACTCCTGACGCGCCGGTTGCAGGAAGAGAATAGCTTTCAGCTCAATTACCCTTCACATTCCAATATCATAACGCTCCGATGAGGTTTTTTAACCAAAAACAAAAAAGCCGTGTCTGCCACAGGCCGGATGCAAGGCCAGCCATGCAGAAGGGACGGGCCTGCCAACCTAACAGCCCCCCAGGGGAGACTATGGGAAGGGACCCATCCCAAGGCACCGGCCGCACAGAGAGGTCCAGGGCCTCAGTTTACTGACAACACGTGGCCTGCCACTGCTCATCAACTACTAGGCCTGAACAGCTCTCGGCCCTGGGGAGAGAACACTGAGACCCACGTCCAGGGAGGCAGCAGGGAGTGACGTGCCCCAGACCAGTGCCCCAGGTCTCCACTGTCACAACACTCATTCTACTTTCTCCTTCTAGGGGCAGGAATGCCACCCAGACCCCTCTGAGTGCCACAGCGTGATGGCATAATTCAGCTGGGCCACAACCTGGGGAGCTGGGGTCTAGTCTTCATGTCATTTCATACCCATTGGCTCATCTGTGTCTTAACAACAACGCTGACTAGTTAGGAAGTTAGCTAGAGCTAAGGGTATTAACCCCACTGCATAGATGGGTAAACTGAGGCCCGAGGAGATGGAAGGAGAGGCCCAAAGACATGAGGAAGAATCTCAGTCTGGTGTCCCTTTAAGATGCACTGCTGCCATGGGAGGTGAGGGCTGTGGAGTGGGGGTGAGGTCTGCTCCAGTCCAATGAATCTAGGCAGGAAGGAGCTTATCTCCACTCCCTTAGTATGATGTGACTGCCCCCATCTGAAGACCGTTTTCACAGGGGAGGCATAACCAAGGGTCTATACCGTGAATCCTGCACACTCATGAACTCCTGAGCACACATGTTCCATGCTCGTGCCCCACCCCATGTCACACGTTGGAGGGCCCCAGAGCAGTGCCCAGAGGAAGAGGTCTGGCCCACCCTCTCCCACCCAGCTGTGCTTTCGTCTGCCTGGCCAGCTCGGTGCTGATGGCTTTGATGGCAGCATCCCCTCCCTGTGTCCTCCTGGCCTCCCGCTGGCTGTGGCCAATTGGCTCGTGATTTACCGCTCCGGGGCGCTGACCCGTGAGGGAGACACACGGGACAGAAGGAGGCAGGGCGGACGTCATGCCTGAGGTGTGTGCACGCATGCGTGTCCTGGTGCAGGGGTGGGAAGGTATCTCTCCAGGAACACGCTGCCCAGCTGGGCTCTCTAGGACTGGGAGCGGCATCCCACCCTCTTGCTATCCCATGCTGGCCATGGCACTGGGCACCGTCTGGACAGAGGAGGACGGGGGGAGACCTCGAGAGGGCTGCCAGGAGCCTCAGCCCGGAGGGCATGCCCAGGAGCCTAGCACCCCTCTCACAGTGGTCCGCCGCCTGCTGGGTCCTCTGAGAATCTGGGCACGCATGCCACGAACACCTCCACGGCCCTACCTCCCGACCCACTGTCAACAGAGGCAGCACAGCATGGGGTGGGGGACCCGGAGGTGAACCAGCTGTGTTCACATCCCAGATCAGCAACTGACTTAACCTCTCTGAACCTCAGATTCCCCACCTTGAAAGTGGGGATAGGGCTTCCCTGGTGGCGCAGTGGTTGAGAGTCCGTCTGCCGATGCAGGGGACACGGGTTCGTGCCCCGGTCCGGGAAGATCCCACATGCCACGGAGCGGCTGGGCCCGTGAGCCGTGGCCGCTGAGCCTGCGCGTCCAGAGCCTGTGCTCCGCAACGGGAGAGGCCACAACAGTGAGAGGTCCGCGTACCGCAAAAAAAAAAAAAAAGTGGGGATAATCCCAATACCTACAGCACAGATGGGTGATACAAAGTACCAAGTGAATGCATGTACAGTTCCCATTATTGTTATTACTGTTGTTATTCAGTGCCTTCCCCACGCCCAGTACCCCTGGCCCTTATGGGTTCAAGGAATTATAAGATACAGATCCCATCTTTAATCAGTTCATGAATCCTGGGACTTGGGACCAGGAGAACCCACACATCAGACAAGTGTTATAAACAGAAGCTGGAACAGGAGGTGGGAGGAAGGCAAGGTCACTGAGCCCATGCCAGGCCTGTCCAGTGCCCCGTCCCTTCCTCAGTAATGCCCCTGAAGCCAGAAAGGCCTTTTCTATCTTGTGGGGTTTACACTCACCTCAGATATAAGGAAGAAGATGGGGTGCCCAGACGCAGGGGAAGCCTCTCCTGGCCTCAGACCCAAGGCAGTCCCTGCTCCCTCCCTCCCCAGCCCAGACTGAGAACTCCCACAGGTGACCCAGGCTTCTGCAGGGCTGGGTGGTGGAGGGGAAGGACAGAGCTGAGAGAACCAATTTGCCAAGCTCATTTAGAGTTCGTGTGTCCAATTCTGCTGCCTGGAGGGAGACATGCTTGATCTCCATTCACGCCACATGCCACAAGGGACTTGGGAGTTAGGAGGGGGGCAGCGGGGGCGGGGGGTGGGCAGTGGGGCCCAGCTTTCCCGTAGCACTAAAGCTGGGACAGGTGACTGCCCTATTCCACCCGTCAGCCATCCAGAGGGGGCCAAGCTTGGGGTGGTGGCTGCCTGAGTCCTCAAGCACTGGCCTCCAACCCTGCTTTAAAGGTGCCACTGTCGGTGAGCAGGACCCAGCCGGGATCTCCTGGAGGCCAGGGACAATATCTCACTCCTCTTGTGTCCCCAGGGCCCAGCATGGACTTGGCATCCAGCAAGTTTGATGAATGAGTGAATAAATGAATGAGGGTGGGGTCAGGGGCATGGGACCAACACTTCCGCATCCCAATACTCCTCTGGTAGTGAGCCAAGAAGAAACTCCTCTGTCTCTGTCTCTGGGCTCATTGATGCCAAGAGGTCAAGCTCTCCAGGAGGGTCTCCAGCACGCAAGCACCTGCTAAGCCCTCCTCTGGGCAATGGGGAGGTCTTCCTGGGGTCCCAGGAGCATGACAGCCAGTTCTTGGACTCAGCACTTCTCAACACAGCGCTCCACACCCTCATCTGCGAGCTCTCCCTTTCTCTATCCCCACAGAATGGGCTCTTAGGCTCTCCCACCTCACCTCACCTGGTTTCTACAAGGCTTCTTCCCAGCCAGGGGCCCTCCCCAGCTCTGGGTGCCCCTGCCCCATGGCTGGCCCTCATGGATCATCCCTAATGACCACCAACCTCACACCTACGTCCAGACAACTCATCTCTGGGTACACATATCCTCCTGCCTGAAGGGCCCCAAAGGAGCAAGTGAAGTAGAGTTTGGGGGGTTTGGAGGGGTGTGCTGTAGAATGCGTGCCCTGCTACTCTGCCTTCAGAGCACCCGTATCTGTCTCCTACCTCTGCTGAAACAAAGTCCCACTTAGTGGCTTAAAACAATACAAGTTTATCATCTTACAGCTCTGGGGGCCCGAAGTCCAAAATGGGTCTTACTGGACTAAAATCAAGTGGTTAACAGGCCTGTGTTTCCTCTGGAGGCTCCAGGGGAGAATCTGTTTCCATGCCCTTTCCCGCTTCTAGAGGCCACACTCATTCCTTGGCTAATGGCCTCTTCTTCCTTGGTCACACCAGCAGCATAACAACTTCAGCTCTCTCTCTCTGACCTCTGATTCCATGGTCACATCTCCTCTGATTCTTCTACCTCCGTCTTATAAGGACCCTCGTGATTACAGTGGGACCACACAGATCAGCCAGCTGTCTCCCCATGGAGGCCCATAACTTCATCACACCTGCAAAATCCCTTTTGCCACGTGAGGTAACATAGTCCCAGGTTCCTGTGATTAGGATGTGGACATCTTTGGGGCTACCCTTCTACCTACCATACCCCAGTCCCATTAAATGACGCCCTTTCCTCCAACATCCCTGACTGAGGTGCCCTCATTTCCCATTGCTGCCTGCAACCCCGGTGAGACTAGGCTCAACCCTTCTCCGAAGGCCTTGGTGGGGGACTCGCCAGCACTTCTGAGCTGCCTTCAGCATCAGGCCTTGGGAACAGAGCGCACCAGGAATGGTTCATGAAAAGCGGGGAGGGAACAGCCGTGCAAAGGCCCTGTGGCACAATGCCCTCGGGCACCAGAAAGAAGGTAAAGGCACAAGAAGGCACAGAGCCAAGGGGAGGTGAAGAAGGGGCTGGGGCCAGACCCTGCCAGCCTGGATTCTGGTCACCATCCTCAGAACACCACGGAAAGGTTTTAGTGACATCCCTTGCACATCACAGGGACTCAGTACAATTGAATGAATGGACGGATGGGAGAATGAATGCATGAGCCTGTCTACCTTCCTTCCTTTCTCACCAGTGACCTGCCCCAAACCTGCCTCCTGCACAGCAACAGTTAATGGGGTCTCCCAGGCTTGCTCACTTATTTATTTATTTCCCCACGGCTGCTGTCACCGACCCGTGCAGCTCGAGCGTGGCTCCGTGGAAATGTCTGGAATCGCCAGCACACTTTAGGTATTACTTCCACACCATTTACGGCTTTCTGCCCCAATAGCTGCTGTTGCACCTCCCTCCATCTCCATCTTTTGGGCTGTGTCGGGTGGGCTTTTTGTTGTTTTTTTAAAAGGTCTCGTGGCCCCTGCGCTTGGGGGATCTGATGGTTTGGGGAGGTGGCAAGAAAGACAATGCTTTGGGAGATTTATTATTCCTCTCCCGTTGCCCTGGCCCTGCCCCAGCCCTGAATAGAGAAGGGAAAAATACAACAGCAATCACTGCAAGCTGCTAAGAAGCCTTTAAAGATTTTTGCGTTTTCTCAATCAGGCCTGAGACGGGGTTGCTGGTAGGAGCTGCAGCTTTGTGGAAGCCTGAAGGTGCCGGAACTCAATAAAGGTCACTTCAACCAAACACCTCCCCCCGTCCACCTTCTCCAGACCCAAGGCTGCCCTCTCAGAAGCCGGCAGGCTTACAATAAACCCCCAACCCCAAGTGGATATGCTGGGGGTAAAAATGCATTTGGACTCACTCTGGGGGGCAGTTACAGAGAAGACAGCATCTGGGACTAGCTGTGTAGCCTTGGGCAAGTCACTTAACCTCTCCGGGCCCATTTCTCCAGCTATAATATGAGGACAAGCACACCCTTCTTACCAGGTGAAAGACTTCTAAGAGGATCGAAGGAGACTGTATGAGGGAAGGGGCCCACATCCTTTTTTCCCTTCCCCTTCCTCTCAACCCAAGTTTCAACCACTCCATTTAGTTTCCCGTGCAGCCTCCTGTCCCAGCACTCAGGCAGCTCCATATCCACCTGCAGAGATGACCCCTGACTAGGGAGGGGCTGCCCAAAGGTGATGCCCACAGGTGATAGTCCTTCCAGCCTTGCCGTGTGCGGGCTGTAGGCTGAGCCCTGCACATGCATCATCTCATGTCACCTGCACAGTGGCAACCCTGCATCAGCACCACACCCATTTAATCAGAGACAGGAAGTTTCCTAGGGACTCACAGATATAAGTTGTGAGACCAAGATTCAAACTATTAACCTAACAACTGTGGGAAGTGACCTCCGAGACGAAGCTGGCTGCCTCTACCCCGGGTCTTAGGTGATGATAGAAACCTAATAGAATGTATACTATAAAATGAAAATGCACAAAAGTAATCCATGGGGTTAGAAGTCAGGACAGTGCTTACTTTCTGGAGGGAGGAGGAAGGACTGGAAAAGTCGCAAGGGGGCTTCTAGGAGCTGGAGAGGTTCTGTTTCTTGATCCAGATGTAACACAAATATGTTCACTTCGCAATTAACTCAAACTTATGAACACTTATGATTGTTCATGTCTCTATATGTATGCTTAGGTAATAGGTAGACTCAAAAAAAAGGAAGAAAAGAAAGGAAGGAAGGAAGGGAGGGAAGAAAAGAGAAGAGAAGAGAAGAAGAGAAAAGAAGAGAAAAGAAAAGAAAAGAAAAGAAAAAAGAAAACTCATGAAGCCTGCAGGGCCATCGGAGAAAATACCCCAGGGGTTAATCTGTCCTACTTGCATGAGGCTTTAAGTTCAGAGCCTTCCTGCCCGTCCTGACCTTGACCCCCACTATGGAGTGGACAGGCTCAGGACTAACAGTCCCATTTAACAGGGGAAAATTGAGCCCTGGAAGGGGGAAGTGACTCACCCAGCCACAGGTGGTGGGGTTCCTGTCCCCTCCAGGCTACAGCTCTCCCCACTTTAACTTGCTGTGATGCATCGACAGGTGACAAGACAGGAGGGGCTGCCCACTGGCTGAGCCCACCTGAGGAAGACTCAGCACCCAGACCTGGGACTGGTTGGCCTCTCTTGCCCATGAGGGGGCCTGGGGCCACCCCAGGAAGGAAAGGCCAGGCCAAGGTTAGGAGGCAGAGGGTTGACCCAAGAGTGGGGTTTAGAAGCCAGGATGGACGGAATGGGTGTAGGAGCAATTCCAAGGGCAGGGACTAAGAGAGGCCTGTGCCTTCAAGTCCAGTGGAGACGACCAAGTGAAGGGCCTAAGTATGATCCCCATGGCCACCTCCAAACGGAATAACCCGGGCAAGTCTTCCAACTCCTCTAACACTTGGCTTGCTTATCTGTAAATGGTGACAGAGAGGACCAACCTCCCCCGCCCTCCCCCACCGGCTTGCTCTGAGGAAGGAAGATTAGGGTCTGGCTAAATGGTAGGAAGGAAGATGGTGCAGTGGGTTTGGGTGAGAGCGTCTCGGGGGAGGGCACAACATGAACAAAGGCAGGGCGGCAGGAAAGCGACTACCCTGTAGTGAGGATCCAGGACAGAGAGGACAAGAAAGGTGGGAGAGTAAAGCCTCATGCAAATGGATGGATTTCAATGCAGGGTTTGTGCTAGGAATGGTGGGAGGCACAGCTGGGCTCACACTGGGAGATACCGAGAGGGGAAGGGTCAGTGGAAAAGGCCTCCAAGCCCCTTCCCTCTCTCCGGGGCAGGACTGCAAGAGGGGACAGCCTGAGCCTGTGACCCTCCTGGACAAGGACGTGACCAGGCATTCGGCTCTTTGTGGCTGGCAGTACCCCACACTGGGGAGGTGGGCTGGCCTGTGGATGGTGAGGACAGCGAGCGGGGACGATTGCATTGCACCTAGCGATCACGCCCAGGTGAAATCTCTCAGGCGCATTATCACATCTGGAGAGAAGAGCGGGCTTTTTAATAGACGGACAGGAGGCTTCTACTTAAGGTTATTATAAAGAGGGAGAACTCAGTCCCTCCCGGCTTCCAGCCAGCACCACAAAGTTGCAAAGTAATTAAAGGCTGCTAAGGAATCAGAGAAATTATAATAATTCCATCACCCAAGACCTCTCTCCCTCTTTCTCTCATTTTCTGGTAGAAAACAAGGTGGGTCAGGCAGCCTGAGAACACATCACAACAAGCTAATTGTGTGGGCCCTCCGTGTTATGGGGGGCTGCCAGGCCTGTCCGCAAGCCATTTTGACAATATCCGAACTTGTTACGGTAAGTAGAGGGGCTGAGACAAAAATCACAGAGCAATTTCCAAGAAGAGGAAAGGCAGGACCGCGTGTGGTCGGTCCACACCCTCAAGCGGGCTCTTCATCGAGAAGGCAGACTGCCAGGCCACGGCTCCTGGGGTGTGGGGTGCTATGGGAGTCTGGGAGGCAGCACCCGCTGGGCCCCCAGCCCAGATCTGGACATCCACCTCTGAGAACAGCGCTACGCCTCCACCCAGGGGTGCACTCAGTCTCACCACGGGTCTGGAAACCGTCTCCCTGAGCATCTTCGCTGGTTACGTTAGGTCTTCAGTGGTTTGCCCCTGATTTACCAGGTGACCTTGGGCAAATCTTTGACCCTCTCTGGCTTTGTTGATCTCTACAGAATGTGTGGTGGGATGGGGTCACCTCGACGGTCCTTCTGGTACTGGTTTCAAGGAGTCTATGTGAAATGCTCTCTGCCTATTACTAGTTATTTCTAGGTGATTCTGTTTCCATTTTTTCCTTGTCACATCTTAGTTTCATGTTTTCCTCATGTTTCCTGTCTCTCACTGGACTGTAAGTTTCTTGTCCACTAACACCCCCAATATCAACCAATCAGCGCACAGCAATGGAGCCCACCTGTCGAGCTCCTTGGCCTTCCAAGCAACTTTCCTGAAGTTCTCTGGGAACTTTTCAGAACAACAGGAATGCCGGTCAGCTACCCTGTGGATGTGCTGCCTCGTATACATGCTCTCACTGAACTCTCACAACAACCTCAGTGTATCCCTATTTTACAGATGAAGAAACAGAGGCTCCGGGAGGCTAAACCCCTTGTTCATGACCTCCCAATGTGGAGCGAAAGCCCATGTGTGCCTGCCTCCACCACAGCGTTGCAGTAGGGACCAGGGTCCCTGTGTCACAGATGGGGCTCAGGTTCTCACGATGCAGTGAAGCCACGGCTGCTCCTGTGCACAAGGGACCTTCTTCAACCCTCTGTTTCCTAAAGCTGTTCTCCCACCCAAGGTCTAAGGAAACCTCACTGCCTGGAGGAAAAGGGGTGCAGGCAGGAGTTTTACACCCTTCCTCCAACAGGGCCCCACCACGCAGGAGAGGAGAACAGTAAAGAGGAAGGGAGATGAAAGACGCCAGATGGACTCCGGCACCCGAGGCTGACAGCCCAGCAATGCTGCAGGAACATCTCCAGCAGGCAGCTATCATCTCCTTCCATTTAGGGGTTCTTTATTTAAAGGGCGAGGGGCACAATAAAAGGTATCCCGGCACGTGCCAGAGAATCCCTAACGCACACGAGCTGGGCTCCACACACGGTCCCCTGCTTCATATTCATGGCAAAGGGTCCTGCAGTCATTGTAATGGAATTATATGGGCCCCCAAAGACTCCCAGTGAGAATCGGTGAGGAAACCGACGTAATTAAAAACATTATTACCATTCAGACAAAATAATTTCAATCACATCTGGGCTCCTTCCATCTCCTGTTGCCACACTGTCCTCTTTCCTCATGCTGCTGCGGGGGGGGGGGGGGTGCCCACAGCCCTGGCCACGCCCCATGGGCATGGAAGGAGCTGCCACAGGGATCTCAGGGGATGGGGGGCCCTGGGTTTCACTCCACAGGGTGGAGGAGGGAGCAAGGACCTTCGGACTGTGTGGCTAGGCTGAGCTCTCTGGGCCTGGGTTTTGTGGGACTCCATTTACTCCCTCCCGGGCACCCAAGACCAAGGAGGAGGTGGCAGAAAGATGTTTACTCTTCCCTGCAGGCAGGCTGAGCAGCCTGGCGTTTACCCATGTGTGGGTCTCTGACTTCTCACGGAAATGTGTTGCACGCGCGTTTGGGGACTGAAGTCTTGGAGGCTACCTCTGGGTACACACTAACCCTGCAGGTCACACGGAAGGGGCATCGCTATGACCATGGCTGGGTCCTGACCACTGAGGATGGTCCTCACTGCAGACAGTGGGCAGTGGGCTCTGAGTGAAGCTTCTCCACTGAACCCCCATAGCCTGTGCACGGGGCTGTGTGACAGCATCCAGCCTTGGATGGGAGGAAGCCTGTGCTCGGAGCCCAGAGTCCCCAGCTCGTCTCCCTGGGCAACATTTGGCAAACCACAGCAGGTCATGGCAAAGTTGCAAAAAGACCCACGCAAAGATGCTGAAAAATGAGACAGGGAAAGACTTGGCTCTAGTTGCAAGCATATCTGATGCCAGGGGACTTAGGGAAAGCAGTCACCTTGTATTGGCCTCAATTTCTCTCGTCTTGAAAATGGGAAGAATAACTTTCCCTTGACTCACAGAGTTGTCATGAGGACAAATGAAAGACAGTGAAAACACTAGGACATAGAGAAGACATTACTTAAATAAGTGCGCGCGCGCACACACACACACACACACACACACACACACACACACCACAACCTCAAGAATGTAGAAATAGGCAGCCCTATTGCTTTGCGCATATGCATATCTTCATTGCTACAAGCCCAAAGCCCGCTGTCCTTGCTGCTGCAGGCTGAGACACCCGCCTGCTGGGAGGAAGGAGGGGTTCCAGGTATCCGTCACTGTGCTGCTAGCAGCGGGAGACCAGAAAAGGCACAGGACCAGCTGCTCACCGAGGGACACAGAGACACGGCCCAGTGTTGCCACCTGGCTAGAACAAACTACTCTGACTCTAGCCAGCAGGATCCAGAGCCCCTGAAATGATTTATTGGCCTCCCTCTCCCAGATCAATAGGCGGGTGGATAGATGCAGAGGGGGCCCCCAGGCACCGTGGCCCCGAGGTAAAAATTAATATGGCCCGTCAAGGGTCTGCCTCTCCTGGCGTGGGAGATGACACTCTCATGAGCAGAGCTGACACCTCAGGGGGGATGGCAGGCACAAGCCAGTGGAAGTCCCCCTCACCCCCCATCTCTCTCTGCAAACCGGGGATGCAGTTTATAAATCATTCAGCATCTGATGCGCACTCCTTGAGGAGGGCAGCTGGGGGCACCGCTGTAGGGCCCAGTGGGTGCTAATAAGTTTGGCAAGTCCACCTCCTCAGACTCTGGGCCACTCCGGGCTCCCCACATGCCCACGGCACATGGGATGGCATGGCTGAGATTCAGGAATTGGCAGGCAACAGAGGGCGTCAGTGAGCACCAGCAACGGGCTCCGCATAAATGCTCCTGCTGTCCTCCCAGCCACCCAAGAGGCACAGGAAGCAGCAGGGCTCTGCCCACTCGTGAAGTTCACGTCCAAGGGACAGGTTCCTAGACAGGGTGCTGGGGACGCACAGGTGACCAAGCTCTGTTCCTGTTCTGTCTGACGGGAGACACGGACATACAAACAACAACTACAACCATGAGCATTTATTGGGCATTTACACTGGGCACTATGCTAAGTACTTCTCTTACATGGTCCCACACACTTTAATCCTCACAACAATTTTGCAAGGCAATATAATTATTTCCATTTTGCAGGTAGAATTGACGCTACCTGCCAAAGAACCCGTAACCAGACTTGTCTCTGAATCCTGGCTCCATCCTTGCCTAGCTTTGGGCAACTTACATATCCTCTCTACTTCCCCATCCACATCTGTAG